TGAAAAGTCATCAGTAAAATGTTGCTTCAACGGCACAAAAGAAAGTCTTTTTTGCGTTGAATTGTGACTGGTGATGAAAAGTGGGTTTATTTTGAGAATCCCAAATGCATAAAATCATGGGTTGATCCAGGTCAACCATCAACATCGACTGCAAGGCCAAATTGCTTCGGAAAGAAGACAATGCTCTGCATTTGGTGGGATCAGGAAGGTGTGGTATTATGAGCTTCTAAAACCAAGTGAAACCATTAATACTGATCGCTACCGACAACAAATAATCAATTTGAACCACGCTTTGATCATGAAATGATCAGAATGGGCCAGAAGACACGGCAAAGTAATTTTGCTTCATGATGACGCACCATCACACACTTCAAAACCAGTTAAAGACACGTTAAATGATCTTGCCTGGGAAGTATTAACCCACCCACCGTATTCACCAGACCTTGCTCCTTCAGATTACCACTTGTTCCGATCGATGGCACACGCACTTTCTGAGCAGCACTTCAAAATGTACGAAGAAGTGGAAAATTGGGTCTCTGAATGGTTTGCCTCAAAACAAGAAAATTTCTATTGAGCTATTATCCACAAATTACCTGAAAGATAGGGGAAATGTGTAGCTAGCGATGGACATTACTTTAAATAAAGCACTTTTGATGTTTCTCTTGAAATTATCGTGTTTTCTTTGATTACAAAATCCACCATTATTTATTTTTATTTTTATTTTTTAAATTGTTTTATTGCTTAAAGTATTACAAAGAGTATTACATATGTCTCCTTTTTTTCCCGCCCTTGACAATCCCCTGGCCTCCCCTACCCTCCAGTGTTTTATGTCCATTGAAAATCCACCATTATTAACCAGTACAACTGGTATGCACACAAGTTCTTTGGTTGATCTCTTCCCACCCACTCACCCACCCTCCCCTACCTTCCCTCTGAGATTCCACAGTCTGTTCCATGTTTCTATGCCTATGGATCTATTTTGTTTAGCAGTTTATTTTGTTCATTATATTCCATACTAGAGGCCTGGTGCACAAAAATTTGTGCACTCAGGGGGGTCCCTCAGCCCGGCCTGTGCCCTCTCGCAGTCTGGGACCCCTCAGGGGATGACCACCTGCTGGCTTAGGCCTGCTCCCCGGGGGATTGTGCCTAAGCTGGTAGTCAGACATCCCTCTGGCAGCCCGGGAGCCCTCGGGGGATGTCCATGTGCCAGCGGGGAGCAGGCCTAAGCTGCAGTTGGACATCCTTTGTGCTGCTGAGGAGGCGGGAGAGGCTCCCACCACCACTGCTGTACTGGCAGCCATCAGCCTGGCTTGTGGCTGAGCAGAGCTCCCCCTGTGGGAGCACACTGACCATCAGGGGGCAGCTCCTGCATTGAGCATCTGCCCCTTGGTGGTCAGTGTGTGTCATAGCGACCAGTCATTCCCAGTCGTTCTGCTGTTAGGGTCAATTTGCATATTACCCTTTTATTATATAGGATATGAGTGAGATCATGTGATACGCGTCTTTCTCTGATGCTTGAAGTGTTTTGAAGGTCAAATGTCATGCTAAGGGGTTTATCCTGTAGGCCTTTGGGAGCAATGGAAGAGTTTGGAGCGTGCAAAAGTGCTGATCCAACAAAGATCTCTCTGGCCACTGCCATGGAAAAAGCTGGGGCCCGAGGGCCAGGCCCAAGGCTCTTCATGGCCTGTGGGAGAGATGGAGTAGGTTCAAACTGAGGCACGTCTTGGGGGTGCAGACGATGGGGCCTGTGAAGGAGGGGCTAAGAAGACAGAGGGCACTGGGTTTGGTACAGAGCAGACATGGGGCTGGGAAAGGTGAGGGAGGAGGCAAAGGTGAGGGCAGATCTCTGATTGTCCAGGCTGGGAGGCGCCACAAGCTGGGAGGTGGCAGGTCAGGGTGAGAACAGGACACAGTCATGGCAGCAGGGATTTTGCTGTCCACTCTCTTGCGCTGCCTAAGGCAGGAGGGAGGAGTTAGCAAAAGACCCATCTTGCTCTGTTTTGCTTTTTGATTCTCAAAGGGTCATAGGCTTTCTGTCAAGAGGGCCTTGCAGATTGTCCCACCCACCTCCTCACTTTATGAATGAGAAAACTGAGACCCAGAGAGGGAAGGGATGGGCCCAGGGCCACACATGAAGTCACTGGAAAAGCTGGGGCTACATCCCAGGTGTTGTGATTCCCAGGACAGGCTGGTCCCACCCTGCCAGGCGCCATGACCAGGTGCGGTAGCAGCTGTGGGCTGTGGAGCCAGACACACCTGGCTGGGAATCTGGGCTCTGCTACTAGCCATCGACCTTGGGCAGGTCCATCAGCCTCTCTGAGCTTTAGTTTCTTATCTTGAATGTAGGATGGACAGTCCTTGTCGTGCAGAGTAATCTTGAGGATTGAATGAGACATGTGCCTCAGTAAACGTTGCTTCTCTACCCTCTTTTTCTCCTCCAAGCTTGGCCTCATCATTTCCAATCTCCCCTCTCAGAGCAAATCTTTTCACTCTTAACTGAGGTCTTACAAATTTTCTGAATTGGCCACGATTCAGATTAATGTAGACTTTATACTTTTAGAAATTTCCTTTCTTTTTTTAAAATTTTATTTATTAGAGAGAGAGAGAGAGAAAGAGAGAGAGAGATTGATTTGTTACTCCACCCATTTATGCATTCATTGTTTCTTATATGTGCCCTGACCAGGGATTGAACTTGAACCTTGGCATATCGGGATGACACTTTAACCATCTGAGCTACTCAGCTAGGGCTTTAGCAAGTTTCTTAACTTCTCTAAGAGCCTGGGATGCCCTCGACGGGGCACCAGAGAGAAGCTGAGCCTGGCCTCTCAGAGGCTCCTTGAGGGTTTTAGAAAAGGCTGATTTAGGTGGAGCAATCTCCTCTCTGCTGTATCTCTTTTTAACTTATTTTGCTTTGATTTTTCCATTTGCTACTAAGCATGAATGAGTACCTGCCTCTGTGATCTGTACATTAAACACGGCTAACTGTTCAGTGTGAGGAGGAGGCTGTGTTCATTCACGTCTTTTCTTTCTTTCTATTAATGAACGCTGAGCTTTTGATATGCATCGGGATACTATGTAGTCTGTGGTTGTTTTTGGTCTCAATAAAATTAGAAAGGACTTTAGAACAGTGAGTCCCCTTGGACAAGGTGGGTGAGCCCTCTGGATTCCCGGATTAGCATGTTTGATTGTAACAGGCATGGTCCGCATCGACTATTTTGTTGACTCTAAAGGGCAACCTACCTTTTCACATGGAGAAAAAAGCCAAGTGCTTAGCTGGTTCCATTCTCAGGGCCTTTGCACTGGCTGTTTCCTCTACCAGAGATGTTCCCCACTCAGCTAATTTTAGAATTTGCTTCTTTACTTCCTTTTTTTAAAAAAATATATTTTATTGATTTTTTACAGAGAGGAAGGGAGAGGGATAGAGAGTTAGAAACATCGAAGAGAGAGAAACATCGATCAGCTGCCTCCTGCACGCCCCCTACTGGGGATGTGCCTGCAACCCAGGTACATGCCCTTGACCGGAATCGAACCTGGGACCTTTCAGTCTGCAGGCCGATGCTCTATCCACTGAGCCAAACCGGTTTTGGCTGCTTCTTTACTTCTTAATACATATTATTTCTAATATTACAATATTATAAGTATTATTTTAAGGTTCTAAGGTGTTTTTTTAAAAAAAATATATTTTATTGATTTTTTAGAGAGGAAAGGAGAGGGATAGAGAGTTAGAAACATCGATGAGAGAGAAACATCGATCAGCTGCCTCCTGCACACCCCCTACTGGGGATGTGCCCTCAACCCAGGTACATGCCCTTGACCGGAATCGAACCTGGGACCCTTCAGTCCACAGGCCGACGCTCTATCCACTGAGCCAAACCAGTTAGGGCCTAAGGTGTTTTTATTGATTGGAATTGCATGCAGCTGTCATCCTTCCATCAACACATGAAATTACAGTAACATTGCTGTAATGGTCCTGTTAGATTCTAATCTTGAACACAGAACAGTTCTATCTCTATTAACAGTAGAAAACAAAACCACTGAGTTTATCTTGGGAATTTTAAATTTGGGCCATTGTTTAACAATTTGGAAAGCTGAGCAATCCAGCTTAAAGATGATTTTCTCCTTGTTGATGGATTTTTTCTCTTTTTCTGTAGGTGTGTGATTTGGGACTCCATCTGGCCTCAAGTTGTTCCTGCATATGGCGCACCTCGGAGAAGGGACCGCGTAGTTGTCCTCGCACTGTGCCCCGGTCAGTACTCGGCGCCCAGCCTCCCACTCCCAGCTGTGTCCCCTCACCTGAGTGCACTTGCAGGAAAACACCCCTAGAACCTTTCCCGACAGTTCCCACCCCACTGAGAGCAGTGGCCCCTTCTGTATGCTCTGATCCTCATCTTCCTCACAGGCCTCCGGGATCACATGGGTTTTGACCCACCAACAGTCCCCCAGCCAGGAAAACACCGTGCTTAGAAGCTTAGAGTGGCCAAGCAGTATTTACAAATGATAATTCTCCTCTCTCTTCCAGGCACACAGGGACTGTGTCTGATTTTGCTCACTGAAGCATCCCCCATGCCCTGGGCAAGGCCTGGCCCAGAGTAGGTGCTCAATGAATAGTTGTTGAATAAATACCAGCCATGGACTCAGAGGCTGAACATCTGGGAGGGGGCCTGCTGATTTCTCATAAAAGTGTTGCCCACCCAAGCCTTGGGTCCTGGAAAGGCGAGGAAGTGGCAGATGACTCTTACTTGACCACTGTACCAAAGTACAGGGCCGCTGTTTCATTCTGACAGAGCAGGAGACAGAAAAAGGGGTGGACTGTGTGCTTCCTTTCTACCCGCCGATCAGACGTAGCATGGCAAGGCTGGGGGTCTTCGGAGTCCCCACTCGGCCCTCTTCGCCCTCACTCTTCACACAATATCATCTCACCTTCACTGAGCATGCTCGGGAGTGGGCTCTCTTCTACGCGCCTGGCCTGAATAATTCATTTACTCCTCACAGCAGTCCTGCGAGCTGGCCACAAATCAGACCCCCATTTACAGACGGGGGAACTGAGGCCTGGGCCTGGGAAGTAACATACCTAAGGCCAGGCAACTAGACAATAAAAAAGCTGGGATTTGAAGGCAGGAAGCTCTGGCCCTAGAAGCCCCGGGTACGAGAGTGACCCCACGGCACTGGGACTGGAGTGGGGCAGGCACTGGCCCACGACATGCAGCTCCTTTTGGAGAAGCTGGGCCGGAACTCCAGCCTGCTGACCCCAGGATGGGGCTCCTTTCAGAGCCTCGGGCAGTGTGGCACATGTAAAGGGTGTGAGGTTGGGAGTCAGTCCACCTGGATTTGAATCCTGCCCCCAAATGACCATGTAGCAGCTGACTCCGGAGTCCGGCTGGGCCCTGCGCCCTGGGAGCCGGAGCACCTGCCTTGACAGCACTGGGCACCAAGGAAGAGGCCGGGGCCACCACGTCCCCATGCGTCTGCCCCTTGTCCTTTGAGTCTTACCAGAAAGCACTGGGGGCACAACCCCAGCTCCCGCCCTCAGCCTCTGAGGCTGGGGATCCAGAGTTGACAGTGGCTCGTCTGGGTGCCATCGGAATTGCAGCCACCTGGTCTAGTCTGCCCAGGTCGAAGCACCTCCTTGCCTCTAAGTTTTGAAGCCAGTGGTTGTAGGTGAGGACTTTCTAGAATCACAGAACCTCCTCCCCAGCCCCGCCCCCCCCCCTGCCTCCAGGGCCTTTTGTCCTCGGTGGTTCAAGGCACCTGGCAGCATCTTAGTGTGGAATGAGCACTGGGCTTGGAGTCAGAGGACCTGACCAGCATTTAGGCCCTGACACCTGTTCGCTGGGTGACTTGGGGCAGGTGACTCAGCATCTCTGAGTCCCTGTTCCTCCATCTCTGAAGCGGCTTTGCTTCTTAAAGGGCTGCTCTGAGGAGTTCATGCAATAAAGTAAGTCAGGGCTCCTCAAACTTTTCTACCAAAGCAGAACCCGGCGACAGGCACCCCGGGGGTTGGAGAGTGTAGCTTCAAGCAGCCCGCCACAAGCTCGCAATTTATTTGAAGTCTCACTGTAGCTTAAAAATTGATGTGCATTTTGCATTCTGCTCCATAATACACCCATGTTGTTTCTTTTAACCCCCAAACAGTGTTTTAAGTGGTTTACCGTTGGGTGATTTTAATGCCAGCAAGCAGGGCCATGCTCGTCACGTGGCTCTGCTGGCTCCCTGGCCTGTGGCCAGGAGCCGCCAAGGGTGGGTGTACCCCAGTTTAAGAAGCATTCATGTAAGAAAAAGTGCTCTGGAAAGGGCAAAGCATGCCACATAAAGGTCAGAGAGTTTTAATGTGACTGTTGGCAGTAATGGGAGGAGGAACAGTGAGCAAGATGGATGAAGGACAGAGAAGAAAGGCAAGGCAGGCCGGGGTGGAGGGTAGAAATGGGGGTGGTGCTCTTGCTGTGAATGCAAGTCCCAGGTGAGCCAGGTTCCAGTCAGGTTACTAGACCAAGGGAGGACAGACACCCCCAAGCCTGTGATCTGTAGATTCTCGAGAGCTTATACAGAGACTGGGGTGGATTGGCACACAGCCCCTGGGGCCTGGTCCGCAGGCACAGGGCCTGGACTCTGCCTTCCCGGGCACTGCTGGAGCCTTCTGTCCCTCCTGCTGGTGCCTGGGAATCTTGATTGTGTGTGTTTTGCATTCTGCTCCATAATGTGCCTGTTTCTTTTGACACAAAGACAGTGTTTAAAGTTATTTACCGTTGGCCAAGCCGGTGTGGCTCAGTGGTTGAGTGTCAACCTATGAACCAGGAGGTCACAGTTCAATTCCCCGTCAGGGCACATGCCTGGGTTGTGGTCTTGATCCCCAGTGTGGGGTGTGCAGGAGGCAGCTGATCCATGAGTCTCGCTTGTCATTGTTGTTTCTTTCTCTCCCCTCTTCTCTGAAATCAATCAATCAATCAATCAAGTTACTTACTTTTGGGTAATTTTAACACCAATAGGTTGGGCCACATGGTTTACACGACTGCAAGCTCCCTGGCCCGTGGTCTGCAGAGGAGGAGGCTGCTGTCTGCTCACTGTCACAAGAGCCATGTACTCATTGGCTCCTTTGGCTTAGGTGGCTTTCTGGCAACGCCCATCCTCCCCAGAGTGCCCTCTTCAGCACTGGGCTCTCATAGTCCCTTCCTGGCTGTGGGGCGGCGTGTGTGAGACCCCTCTAGCAACCACCCCCAGTCCTCCTTTCGAACCCTTCACATAAACGCTCCCAGGAGAGCCATGGCGATGTTCCAGAATTCCTCAGGTCGGTATGCAAATTAGCCTCCATTGTGACCTGGGCTGTGGGTGCTCCTTTAGTCTCCTTCCTGCTCCTTTTAGTTCCCTTTAAAAATGAAAAAGCTCCCGTGCAGAAATATGCACACTTCACAATATTGCAAAATGTCTGAAAGCAAACATTTCCAAAGAATCCTGGGAGCACAAGCAAACACCTTCCTTTCTTCTGCTTATTTCTGGGGGAAAGAGGATAATGAGTTATCCTTTTCACAATCACTGTTCAGTGGCTTTTTGGCCACATTATTCGGAACAAATATAAACAGGGTAAGTTAAAGGCATGGATTATTGCAAAATAAAATTGGGATACATGAAGCTTAAAATTCTTAATTTTAAACTCCTCCTCACAATAGGCCAGAACTTGATCCTCTGTAATTCTTTGCAAACAGCGTTTGCATTTTATTATCGAACGGGTTTTAAAGTGGCGTAGATGAGATTTGGCTCATGTTTTTGCATAAATATAATAAAAGGAGGCTTCCCAGTGAACATAGATTTGGGAAACAGTGTTTACTTTTTCTCTCAATTCAAAAGAGTGTGAACTAAATTTTTTTTTGTTTCAGTAATTTTTCTTTTAAACACAAAGGCTGTGTATTGTTTCTTTCCACAAAGAGCACAAACCAATCTGGGGACAATTATGGTTTTGTGTTTCTTTCTGAGGAGCACGGACCCACACTGAGAACTTGCCAGTCAGCAAACAAGGCTCCGTGTTGCCCAGATGGGCTGTGGATTTGGTGGGGAGAGGACTAGGGCTGGGGCCCAAGCTCAGGACTGGAAGCCAGCCTACCCTGGGGCACACAGGGCCCAGGAGAACCTATGGAGGGTGGGGCATTGTGGAATCGAGGCCCAGGAGAAGGGGTATAAAGTGGGCAGGCCCAACACTTTTCTGAGTTTATCTAGTTCTTACAGAGACCTGCTGAGACCACAGGGAGGGTAAATGCTTATTTCAGATGGACTCTGAAATCTCAAAGAGGCCACTTGGGGTCTAGATCAGGCAGGAGACTATAAAGAAATGGCAAAAGCCTGGGCTAAGCTAGGTATGAATCCTTTCTCTGCCACCCACCAGCTCTTTGACTGTGGGCACGTGACTTCACCTCTTTGAGCCTCAGTTTTCTCATCTGCAGGATGGATAATAATAGGACTTACTTCAAAAGATTGTTGTAAAGATTTACTGGAGATAAAATATAGAGAAGCACTTTGTCCGATGCTTGGCTTATTTTATCAGCTGTTGTGATTAATTCAAGCTGAGCTGCGATACCCACAGTCAGGATTTGACAGGTCTGGACTTGGGTCTTAGTCAGCCTTGTGCTAGAATTATTTATGGCTGTCCTGATTATAGTTAAACTAGAGGTCTGGTGCACAAAATTCGTGCACTGGAGGGGGAGGGGGGATGTCCCTCAGCCCAGCCTGGGCTCTCTCGCAGTTATGAGACCTCTTGAGGAATGTCAGACATCCCTCTTGCAATCTGAGATCCCTTGCTCCTTACCACCTTCCTGCTCACTCCTTACCGCTTGGCTCACTGCTCCTTAGCACTACTGAGCATTGTTCTGGTTGTTCTGCCATAAAAGTTGCTTGGGCTTTTTTTTTTAAAAAAAATGTATTTTTATGGACTTCAGAGAGGAAGAGAGAGGGAGAGAGAGATAGAAACATCAATGATGAGAGAGAATCATTGATTGGCTGCCTCCTGCACCCCCCTCCACTGGGGATCGAGCCTGCAACCCAGGCATGTGCCCTTGACCGGAATCAAACCTGGGACTCTTCAGTCTTCAGTCCGACACTCTATCCACTGAGCTAAACCAGCCAAGGTTAGGCTTTTATTATATAGATGCTCCCATAGGATTGGGGCTGGCTTCGCCTGACTTTGTACCTTAAATACTCAGTAATTGTGATCTGAATTACATTTCACTCAATTTCTCCTTTAAACCAGCTATTCCTGCCCTACTTTGTGTCTCCCCTTTGTCTAGGTTGTTTCTGCCTTGGGCGAAGGGATCCAGGCTCTTGACAATTTCTGTGCTGCTTCTGGCAGGGTTTTCCTTTTGGGATGCTCTTCCTGCAATTTATACTCATCACCACCAGGTGGCAGTAGTGCACCAGACCGCTTTTGGGAGCCAGGGCCCAGCAGAGAGGATTTCTATCCTTGGGAAATGTTGAAAGTGGATTTCTATTAAACCATCTCAATAAGATTCACCTACTCACCATCCACAACTTTAAGCATGGCACGCGTCACAGCAGCTAATGAGACAAAGTACAAAGTGTTTGGTGCGCTCAGCTATCTTTTCTTAACTAGTCCCTACAGAGTGTGAAATCCGGTGCTCCCGTTCCTTTAGGGAAGGCTTTCTCTTCTTCTAACGCCCAGGTTTGCTCCACGTGGTGTCACCACTGCCTGTGGCTTCCTTCTGCTCTGCCTGTATCCACTCGTTCAGCCACACCCACCGTCCCTGTGCTCCGGGCCCGTGCAGGGTGTGCTGACCTCACGAAGCTCATGCTCTGGGGTGGGGTCAGGGCTGTGGAGACAGAGCAGGAGGTCACAAAGCCAAATGCCTGGAGTGCTGGGGCAGGTGAGGAAGCTGAGTGAAGCAGGTCTGGGGTCAGAAGAACAGGGGTTTGGGAGCTTGGAGCCATCTAAAGGGGGGCAGCTGCCAGGCAGGTCCACCTGATTGTTGCCAGGTGGGAAGGTGGCTTTGCATGCCAAGATCTTCCTATTCTTAAAGAGAAATTAATATATTGATTTTTTAAATATAAAATGATTTACTTTAAATCTCTTACTGGGCCAGATTCGGCTCCTGGGCTGTGAGTTTGAGATGGTGGAAGAGAGGCCACGGGCATAGGGTCCACGGGTCTGTGGGAGCCCAGAGGAGGGTGCCCCAACTCTGCCGGGAACATTCATTCATTCACTCAGCAAATGCTGATTGCTTTTCTACTGTGTACAGAGTTCTGTGCTGAGAGCTGGGGACGCATAGATGGACAGGTGAGCGCAGGCCCCCTTCGTGGAGCCTGGTAGGGGAGGCAAATACCCAACGCCTGGCACGATTTACGGTTTGGTTGTAAATTGTGCTGAGTGATCTGAGGGACGGGTGTGAGGGAGGAGAGTCTGGTGTGGGTCAGGGAGGGCTTCCTGGAGGAAGTGACGTTTGGTCTGAGAGCTGAAGGATAAATAGGGGTTGATTGTATCCACTCACCAGGCCAGCCACTTCTTTCTGCCGAGGGGCACTAAGTGCCCAATGGGGAGGTCTAGGTTGGGCGGGGTCATGACCTGGAGAAGAGGCGGCTTTCCAGCAAGGAGTCCCACGTGACTGATGTTAGATGCTTTTCCTGCCGTGGAATGTGCCGAACAGGGCGGGGATCGCTGGGGATGAGATGCGGGAGGAGAGAGGTTTTTCCTGCTCTGACCTAGGGCATGTGCCATGGGAGCAGTGCCATGGGGACCAGGCTGGCAGAGGAGAAGCCCTGGGAGGGGCTGGGAGGAGAACACAGCTCCTCGGAGACCAGACAGAGGGCCCCAGGCCAGCCTGTTGGGAAGGAGACAGGGGCAGAGAATGGAGGCTCAGGCCCCTGGCTCCTGGGGCACAGAGATTCCAGGTTCCATATTTGGTGCCTTAGAGTGAGTGCCGCTCATCGCGGAGCTGAACTCGGAGGCCAGAGGGTGAGGATGCTCTGGGCCCACAGGTGCACCAAGAGGGCTCAGACGTGGGGTACAGAGGTGCCCCATGTTTGATGTGTGGGGGAAGGAACCCACTACACCGGCTCCCCATCCTGTCTCCCGCCGTGAGCTGTGCGATCTTGGGCAAATTGCTGAAACTCACTTGAAGGATGGACATTGTGTGTTCTGTGCTCCGGAGTGGGGTGGTTCCCTGGGATCATCAGCGTGAGGGCCCAGCACTGTGCCTGGCCCACAGTGGGGGTTCAGCACATCTGAGCTCTGCTGTCAGGAAACTCCTGCCTTCTGCTGTCCTCACATTCACCAACCCAGAGTTTGTCCCCCTACCCCAAGCCCTCAAGGTCACATGAGGCATCTCAAGGTCACAGGTCCCCATTCATGCTTGCACCTCCTCTCCATCCTCAGCCTCATCTGGCCCTTACCCTGACCACTACTTTTACACACATTTCTTTAGGAAGATAGACTAAACATTCCACAGAAGACACAGGACACATTTCCCAGTATATCCTCTTCAGAGCCGAGAAAAATAATCGGCGCTGTCCGCAGCCTGGGATCTCTGGGACTAGGCAGTTGAAGGGGCCTTGACCCCATCCTGGCTCTGCCGTTCCCTGGCTGCGTGACCTTGGGCGGGATATACATATGAAAGGGAAACACTTTACAGATGCCACTGTTTGTCTTTTGTGGACTGTTTTATGATCAGGAGCTTTTCCTTGGCACTTTCCTATTTATTTCTGTCGAAGTGGAGGACGGAGCCGTTTCCACCCATCTGGGTGTTTAATGCATGTAGCCCAGTCTCCATCAGTCAGCCAACAGAGCCCCGTGGACTTCACTTCCGCTCGGCTGGTGTGAGGCGCCAGGGGGCGAGGAGGAAGGGATGCTCTTGCTGAACACGTCCCTCAAGGAGGCTCCTGGAAGATGGGCCTAGTTCAATGCCGGGTGCTGTGCTTGTCGGCGGTGGGGCCTGGGGCCCGCGGCTGCCCGCCCTGCCCCTCACCTTCCTCGGGGAGGTCGTGACGTTGCTGTAGGTGTAAGCCCATCCCCAGCACGTGGGAAGTTCACAGTAGAAGTTCACTAGCATTGTTCTCTCTGTTTGTTGCTATTTGCAAGTGAAATCACGTATGTGAAGCACATACATGTCCTGATACAGAGTAGCTACGTATAATAAACCATGCCCATAATCATAATCATGCCCATAAATAACCACACAACATGCTTGGGGGTACAGAGTCGGTCCTCAGAGAAGATGTTTTGGAACGTCCAGGGGATTCTGGTCGGAAGCCAGAGTTCCAGGGCCTGCTGCGTGCTGTGTGCTGAGGACACAGCAGCATCAATACTGATGACGATGACCCGGCTGGCACAGGGCCGGGCACCTGCCGGATGATCAGTTCACGTTTCCTTCTGTCGCTGCCCTCCAGCATCTGGGGCTGGTTCCTTAGGTCAGAAAACCGGGAACCCCACGCTGCCGGGCCCCTTTAGTAGCTCCTGGCACGAAGCTGCTCCCCCTCCCTCATCTGTGCTCCCTTCAGTCTGGCCTCTCTGAACTGGGGTCTGGCCCCCGCATTACCAGTGACCCCTCTGGGCTATTCTCAGAGCTTCCTGGCTCCTCCCACCCCCTGGCCATCCTTAGGTGGAGGTGGTTTTGTGGTCTCTGGCTTCCTCCCAGAACTGAGTGCCCTTCTCAGATAGTCCCCACCCTGAGGCCCCGACTGTGCCCAGAATCTAGGCTGGGAGAGGGCACCTCTGGCCTCTGGGCCCTCCTCCCCCCTCTCCCCCAACCCCTGGCTCAGGGTGAATCCCAGCCTCCCAGCAGCTCCCAGGTGCCGGGACAACCTTGGCATGAATGATGAGGACCTAAGGGCCTGTGCTCAGGGCCCCAAGCAGTCTTCCCTGGAGGCCCGGGGAGGCCGGTTGTGCCATTAAACCCCGCTCTGCCCTCTTCAGGCACATGCATGAATGCTCACACACTCATCACACACACACACACACACACACACACACACACACACACACGTTCTCCATGTGCACAAACATTCAAACACGCACACACATACACAAAGGTCTTTACCCAGACACACCCACTCACACCCAGGCCCTTAGGCAGGCCCTCAGGCAGGCACCCCCCACCCCCACCAGCCTTCTCATGCAGATGCACCCCTCAGGTCCTCACGCTCATAGACCTAGGTGTGTACACACACAGGCACACACATACACACACACCTATTGTTGCACACTCGTGCAGACTCCACATCCCCTGGATACCTGCTCCCCACTCTTGGCACTTCCCTTCCCTTACACATCGCAGCTATTATACTCCCTCCTGCCTTCACTCACAGACATGCATTCACACACACACACTCACAGGCACATACAAAGGCACCCCACGCCCACCCAAGCACAGTCGCATGAAGATGCTTCCCATACACCCGTGTGGCACCCCCACTCACCCTGGGCCCTCACACTGCGGCAGACCCCCTCCCAAACCTGGCTCTGGGCTCCCGAGTCCTCGTAAGTGCAAAGACATCGGGACACAGACACGCGCTGCCCGCCCTCATTCGGGCGCTCACAGAGCAGCTTCCACAAACATCCTGTCGGTGATGGAGCGCTTCCTTTGGGCCTCTTCTGCTTGTAACAGATTAAAGGCGAACGGGCATTTGTCACGGGGAAGTGTACCCGGCTGTGCTGGAAAATGGACTTTTCGATGAGCGTGGGAGCCTGAACTGTCACGGAGCGGAGAGCCGGTGTTATTGCAGCCGGCCGGCCGCGGTGGCCGTCACCTGTGTTATCGGCTGTGGCAGGCATCACCTCCCCCTGAAAGCATCCCATTACGGTAAGTAATGGCTTAATCACAGCCAGTTTGTAATGGAGATGACCTCTCCGCACCCCGCTGGCCTCCCCACGGAGGGCACCTCTCCGCGCTGTGGCTAAGAGCGCTCTGTTCTGCGCGCCTGCGGAAGGGCCAGGGGCCCAACGGGGACGGGAATCAGACAGCTCCGCTGAGGCTGCAGCCAGGGACCAAGGGCAAGGTCAGGGAGAGGAGGAAGGCGCAGAGGCTGCTGGCTGACCCTCGGGGACAGGTGGGGAAACTGAGGCCTGGAGAGGACGGCCTTGTCTCGACCTTGTCTTACCCCTGCCTTTCCACAGACCCTACCATTTAAAGCAGAATAGCAGTGACATAAGAGCTTCCGTTTCCTGGGTGCCAGGGCCTGGCTTGGCACTCTCCATGCTTCATCTCACTCCAGCCCTGGAAGATAGAGTAGTATCATGTCCCCACTTTACAGATGAGGAAAGAACAGGGGACAAACCCCAGGTCTCGGTACAAGTAAATGGCAGAACTGGGGCTGTGCATCTCTGTCACCAGCTTTCTTGGCCGTGTTGTCCAGAGATTCCCACCAGCCTTTGGTGGCCTCATGCCTCTCGGGGTCCTCACCCATCCTCCTCTCTAAGGTGGGAGCTGAGTCTTCCTTACCGCGTGTTCACATGCCAGGAAAACTTCCGTTTTCTGCCTGAAGGCTGTGTGTACCAGATGTTTGAATGCCTGCCCACAGCCAGCCACGGTGGGAGCCCAAAGGTCACGCCAGCCTCAGCCCAAGGTCAGGAGGGCCCTGGCAAGCACAGGACTTGCTACTGCCCAGACCGTGTGTCCCTGAGGCTGACGTGGGGGGATCCTGGGACTCAGGCTCCTGAGCGCCATCTCCTTGCCTCCTCCAGGTCCTGCTCAAGCCACTCGGCCAATTGCCCAGCAGGGCCCAGGACAGAGCACCTGGAGACTCAAGTGAGAGAATGAAAGGACTCTTCCTTGCCTTTGCGCGTGTCTTCAGGGTCACATTTAGTGCCTGGGGAAGAGGTTGGCGCTTAGGAAGATTTGGGGTTGGGTTCTGGTTCCACCACTTGCCAGCAGTATGACCCTGGACAAGTCTCACACCTCCCGGAGTCTCAGTTTCTCCACCTGTGCAATGCCTGATCCTACCCTTAGAGGTGTGAGGCTTAAGTAATGTGTGCGTGGAGTATCCCAAAGCGAGCCTGCTACTTTGTAGGGACTGGCAAAGACATGAAATACCTCCAGCAAAGCTGCCTGGAGAAGACCAGGCAGTGGCTGAGTCGGGCCCCAAGAGTGTGATCTAAGAAGTGTGGTCTCGCTAATCCACCACAGGATGTGATATGGCGGTAATGGACATTGTCGAGATCTTACTGTGTGGCAGGTACTAGTGGCTCCCATGGACTTCTTATTTAATTCTCCCAAACCCTAGGCCATCTATATATATAAAAGCCTAAGCGACAGAATGTCCAGACAACTGGTTGACCGGTCACTATGACATGCACTGACCACCAGGGGGCAGACACTCAACACAGGAACTGCCCCCTGGTGGTCAGTGCACTCCCACAGACAATTTCCCATGGACCCTCCCCCTGGGCCGGCAGGCCCCAATGGCCCAGATCGGGCCGGCAGGCCAACCTTCCAAGGCCCCTCCCCTCAGCCAGCCAACCTCCTGCAGCCCTGATTGCCCTGACCGCTGGCCAGACCGAGGGACCCTACCCATGCACAAATTCATGCACTGGGCCTCTAGTAATTAATATATTGTTCCCACTTTACAGCGGAGTCAAATGAGGTTAGGGGCCTTGTCAGTGTCACACAGCTAGAAAATGTGCTCCTGGATCCAAACCTGGGCCATCTGGCTGAGCGTCTGTGCCTTCACGTCTGTGTTCTATTGCGTTGGGGACATTTGGAAATCCCCAAAGTCTGTTCTCTCTGCCTTCGGAATACAATGTGGACACCTCCCCATTGCCTTTGAGAGCCAGTGTCCTCAGTTCAGGGCAGGGGCAGGGGATGACAGGCAGCTGGGGGCAGGCAAGGGCTGAACTTGAGCCATGTTCAGAAAGGCTCTGGGCCTGCGGAGGGGAGGGGCCATGAGGAGGAGGCCGTGACTCTGAGGAGCTAGCTGAGGAGACAGCGAAAGAGCCAGGCTGGGAGAGCCAGAAACAGGCCTGTTGAGGGTGCACTTTTTGGCAGACTGGCCTCTGTCAGGGTGAGTGTCTGTAGGGCTGCCAGAGACCAGGCTGCTGCCATGGGATGGGAGGGAAGCAGCCACCGAGTTTCATTGACTCAGCAACATCGATTCCAGGGGTATTTATGAAGTGCCTACTGTGTACCAGGCACTGGGCTGAGCAGCCATTGAGTTTCACTTGCTTAGCGGCATTTATTCAGGAACTATTTATTAAGTGCCCACTATGTCCCGACTAACGTGATTCCTTCCTTCCTGGCCGAGAGCCAAGGCGGCGCAGAGAGATGCCAGCTCATCACGCTCAGAAAGGGTCACTGAGGATGTGCTCTGTGCCAGAGACCGACGCACCCCGTCCTGCCACCCTCCTAACAATTCATGAAGAGGTACTGGGGCGATGCCCATTTTATTTTTCTCAAATGAGGATGCTAAGTCTCAGAGACCTTAAGTGACTTGCCTGAGGTTGCACAGCTGGTAGGTGATGGCGCTGAGCCGTGAGCCCAGACCTGCTGAAAGCCTGTGCCTTTAACAACCTCCAGCGTGGCTCTGCTCTCTCGTCCACTCACCTCCCTGTGAGTCTGGGGCCACACAAAGAAGTGGAGTTGGGGTGGGAGCTGCCCTGTCCTTTCCACCTGGAGGGCTGCTTCCTTCTCTCCTCTCACAGCTCCCCCAGCCCCATGCCTGGGCCTTGCCTTCTCTGCAGTTGGGGAGAGCTTATTCTCATGCTAATTGCAAAACTAATTGTTCTTATTGCAAAATCCATTATATAGTATATTTATATTGCAGATAATGAGCTGTTTGGATTAAATAGCTCACTAAAAGTCAATAAAAAGAAATTTGCTTCACTGTTCCTCCCCTCATTTTTCACCAGCACCATTAACATAGCCGTCCTTTCCCGGAGGCTGGAATTCATTAACAGGCCTGGAGCAGCAAGGGGGTGGCGCGGTGTGGTTCTCCCCTTCCCCTTTGGAAAGGCTTTGGGAGGAGAGGACTGGAAGACAAGACGCAGGTCCTTGGCCCAGTTTTAGTGATGCAGGGCTGACTAACCAACGAAAGGCATCTTCCTTTCTAGAAGAACCAGAGAGCATGGCTTCTCTGGGGCTTGATGTGCTGGGGGTGTGGGTGGGGCTGGGGAATGAGTTGATGGCGGGGTGAAGGTTGCGGGGGGGCGGTGATAGCCAAAGACCTCAATGCTGGGCTCTGCAGGGTGAAGGCAGGACCCAGGGGCCGAGGAGACAGCCCAGGTCATGATCTGGGAACGCGAGTACCAGGTTTGGAGTCAAGGGTCTGGATGCCCAGGCTCTGGCCCCTGCCAGCACCACATCTCTGCTGGCTTCCAGGATTTTCCTGGTTTACCTGTTTTTCTGGCCTTGGTTCTGAACCTGCGGGAGGCTTGTTTCAGCCGAGTCCTACCAGGAGGAGGACTGGTCTGTGAAGTTCAGGGGTTACTAGCTCAGGCCCTTCTGCAATCACCATGTTTCATAAAGTGTGGGTTCTCAGGAAGGGCTGGAGTCAAGGCTCGGACCCAGGTCCATGCACTCGACATTCTGTGGCCCTGCTCCCAGCAACCCAAGTGCGGGCTGAGAGGAAGGGCCTGTTTTTATTCCTTTTCCTAGGAGCCAGCCTTACATTTGGTCTGATGAAACGGCCCGCTCTGAGTTGAGTTAGCATGGCTGGGGGCTGCCAGCTCCCTCAAACCCACAGCAATTAACCTCTTCTCCTTCATTCATTTATTCGTTCAGGCAGCCAATAAATATGTATTGTGTTAGGCCTTGACGATGACCTTGAATAAACACACACGGAGCCTTTATTCTTGTGGAACTTACTGTCTAATGGGAATGCAGGGACAGGTATTAGTCACATAGTCACACAGGTGAGTGATGAGTTAACACCAAGGCAAGTGCTGACAAGGAGAGGAGAGCAATTCTAAGAAAGTAATCCCAGGAAGACCTCGCCTGGATGGTGGGGCCAGAGAGGTCCTCCTGGAGGGTGCAACACAGGAGCCGAGCTCTGTAGGGTGAACGTGCGAGACAAAGAAGGGGAGGGGCAGTCAGACAAAGGCCTGCCCCAGGGAGGGGGCAAGGGGCAGCAGTGGGACAGTGAACAGCTGTGGGATGAGGCTTTGGGATGGTGGGTTGAGCCTTGTATGTCAAGAAGCTAAGTTGTTAATCTTTCCTGTAGGCGCAATGAGCAGCCACTGAGGGGTTTACAGCAGTGGGGTGACGTGACTTGTGCTTTGAAAAGTTCACGCTGGCTGCCAGCCACAGAGGTAACATGAAAGGTTTGAGCTGCAGAGAAGGGAGGTGGAGCCAGTATAGAGAGGAGAGAAAGGGGGAGAGAGAGAGAGAGAGAGAGAGAGAGAGAGAGAGAGAGAGAAGAGCAGGATAGAAGACCAAACCTTGGAAAGGACGAGGGAGAGGCAATTTGCCCAAAGGAAATCAAAGTTGTATGAGCAAGGGAGGAGAGATGCGGACTCTCTTCCCACTCAGTGTGGTGCTGAGGGTTCAGACCTTAATTTGGGGGGCTGGTGTGGGGCCTGGCTTCAGCACCACGGAGAGCTCCCCAAGCCATTCTTGAGGGCATTGGAGGCCTAGGTTGGCATCCCCAGAGGTACCCAGCTCAGTGCTTGCAGGGCAGGTAAAGTCACTGCAGAGACGTCTCCTGGGAGCATAGCACACAAAGAGATGCCAGGTCACCACTGCACGAATGCCCAGGACCTGTGGGAGGGAGGGGCTCTGGCATTAGCTGGCCTGGAATGGGGGCTTCAGACCCACCGCCACACCCTCAACCGACAGAGCGAACAGGCTCTGCAGAGACGTCTCCTGGGAGCATGGCACACAAAGAGACACCAGGTCACCACTGCACGAATGTCCAGGACCTGTGGGAGGGAGGGGCTCTGGCATTAGCTGGCCTGGAATGGGGGCTTCAGACCCACCGCCACACCCTCAACCGACAGAGTGAACAGGCTAATAGCAAAGAGAAGGCAGCCTGAGAAGGTCCCGCTGCAGGCGGCTGAGATGGCTGTAATCTACAGCTGTCTTTACTTAACAACTTCAAAGGGAGATGGGGAGACAGAGAGGCAGCCGGATGTTGGAGCAACCTGAGTGTGACTGAGATCAAAGGCAGCAGAATGGGGTGCCACATGCCCCCTTCTGGGCCCCAGGGTCCACAGAGATGCCAGAGTGGAAAGGCTCTCCAAGGAGGACATAGAGACGCCAGGAGGCTGGGTCCAGCAGAAGGGGCGCCGGAAGCCCCTTGCAGCCCGGCACTGCCCAGCCCCTTCCAGGGTGCTCTAAGGCAGCGGTTGCCAACCGTTCAAACCTCACAGACCACCAGTGGTTCATGAACCACTGATTGGCGACCGCTGGTCTAAGGAGCTCAGGGTTCCTGCATTCTGATGTCTCCAACCCTCCCTCCCCGACAGACGAGGAAATAGTGACCTCGTGAGCCCCTGTGGCACCCTCTGTGTGGCGTTGTGTGTGCCCTAGGTTCTCGTCCAGTCCGTCAGCAAGGTCTGAGGCTGGCCTGTGGTGTGTAAGTGGGGAACTAACAGACACAGTCAGAAAGGGCTGGTTCTCCCTGCTGCATCTCTGGGGTTGCCTAAGAGCTTGAGATCCCCATGCTTGGGAGTGGGGCGTGGACAAGTTGGCCTTCTTGTTGCGAGCTCTTTTCATAAGTCTCAGTGGGGACCCAGAGGCCAGTGCTAGTTGACTCGCAGCCAGCAGTGTCCTGCTCCTGATTGGAGTGACCTCTCTGCCCTTGAATTTGGTTCTCTCTGAACATCTGGGTCTCCGTGGATGGCCAGCTCCATGGCAGCAGTCGCCTGGGAGAGGTACTGCCCATTCTTTTGGACGTAGCTCAGAGCAATCAGTAATAAGTGTTTGTTTGGTAAACAAGTGAGTGGATGAATAATGACTGACATTCTTAGTGGGCTGTGACCGGTGCAAGGAAGGAGTGGCTGCCACTGGGAGTCGGCAGAGACCTGGGGGCCTAGGTCCCCGGGCTTTGGGGAGGGTGGAACATGTATGGGGTTTAGTTCTCAATAACCAGGAGTCACAATGGAGCTTGGAGAAGGGCCAAGGGCTGTTTTCCTGGCAGCGCAAGGTAAAAGCTCAGCATTTCTGCAGATGACCAGGGTAAAGAGTGTGGGGGTCCCTGTGGGTTAGGAGGGCCACAGAGGGGGACAAGGGCATGGCTGAGAGTCTCAAGTGCCACGGAGGCAGAGACACCTAAGGATGACCCCACAGACTTCAAGGAACACAGCCTACTTGCATGGCTGGTGGGTCTGGAGACTGAAGGAGTGCGTGCATGCGTGTGTGTGTGTGTGTGTGTGTGTGTGTGTGTGCGCGCGCCCTAGGTGGTAGGAAAGCTGCGAATTAAGAAATGGTGCAGAGTGTGTGTCTGCATTTGCATGTTCGAGGGTTCTCGTGATGTGTACACTTGCACGAAGTGCCTCTGAGTGTGTTGCTGTCGTTGTGTATGAGTGTTGTGAGTGTGTGTGTGCCCCTGTTGCATGGTCCAAGGGCAGCATGAGTTGTGCTTCTTCAGGCAAGAGGGAGATCCGTGTAGGGCAGGAGTGTGTGTACGTGAGCGTGCCGAGTGGCAGGAATGACAAATGATTAATCTATAGGAATCTATATTCTATTCTTCCATGCGTCCACTCCGCCCTTCTCACGCTCCCATGCATCACCTCCGGAAATCCATCACCCGACTCTCCACCAAGGACAGGCTGTGAGTAGCGAGTGCTTGCCTTATTGATGGACTTGCCCATGCTTTTTATACATTTGGACATACAGAGAAGGAGAGCCTCATCGTTCATGCTCTCATTCATTCATTCATTCATTCATTCAATCATTGGCCCTGCAAGTAGTTCTCGAGTGCCTACTGTGTGCCAGGGATGGCCCTGGGTGCTCAGGGTAGATGACAAATAAGGGAAATGTAGTCCTCACTTTCTCTAAGTTATGGGCCGATGGGGGTTTTAGCTAGCATGCTGGCCATCTCAGTGGAATGGGATGCAGGAGGTACAGGGGGCTTTGAAAGAATAGAGGGGGTGGGTGGGAAAAATTAACCTGGGTGGGAGTCACAGAAGCTCCCAAAGTAGGTGACACCTCAGGGGAGCCCTTAAGGGTGATAGAACCAAATGGCAGGGAGAGAAGTGGGTGCACCAGGCAGAGGGAACCGCATGTGCAAAGGGCCGGAAGCTGTGGTTCAGCCGGGGCTGGAGTGTGAAGGAGGAAGTGGCATGAGATGAAGGCACAGAGGCGGGCAGGGACGGAGGAGCCTTGAGTGCCCTGTGAAAGAGACTGATTTCACCCTGAGGGCAATGGGGAGCCACTGAAGCGTTTAGGGGGGGAATATGAAGTTGTGTTTATAAGGCAAT